CGCATTGCGGAACCTGGCCTTGGGGCAGCAGGGAGAGTAAATCTGGCCCTGACTGTAAGTGTAAATGTAAAACAAATTGTATAACTATGGTGCGCTATTGTTCTTCACTGGCATGCTGGTTTTCAATGGTTGTAAAATTGACACAGTCTCAGGGGCCTTCTGATGTCTACAAAAGAGAGGCTTTTACAGATAAATAACATACATTGATATTGTAAATGCATATATGATCTTATCGGAACAAACATTTTTGTTGAAATGCATGGTATTGCGAGGGGGTCCATGTAAAGCCTGGCTATACTTACTATTTTTTTGCTTTCCACCCGTTTCTGTAAATCATTTATTCTATCCAAAATGGCTTCTTCTTTGGGCTTCACTGTAATAGAAGTATCACTGAGAGCTGCTGCAACCTCCTCCTTGAATAAATCCAGCAGACTCTGGGTAGCCTTTGCCTCCCCAACACTGTTCTTGAGCGACATGCCTAGCTCAGTGGAACTCTTCTTCACCTGGTTCAGCTCTTGCTTGCATGCCTCCCAGGCTTTCTGTGATGCCTTCAGTCTGTCCTGCAGCATTACAATCTCTTTTTCTAAAGAGTGCTTCACATCACTGACACTTTCCAAATTCTAAAGTGAAATTCAAACAAAATGTTTAGAGATGCACATTACCAAATATGCTGTTAGCAAATGTAAAGGTCAGTTGAGCAAGCTTTCATTGTTTGGTATGTAAATAATAATCCTTCCATAAATTAAAGAGAACCAATCATCAGTGGGTATTTGTAATGATGTGAACAGCAACTCTTGAACTTTTATAAATGTATTACATTGTGGATTACTTGATTTTTTATTCTTTTCACATATTTTCTTGTGGATTGATTTTTATCACTGCAAAAGTCAATCAGCTGCCGTCACTGTCCAGGTATTACAATAGCCAGGTGGGGGGATTCCTCCATCCATGCAGTTTAGCGTGGATGGAGGAATCTCTTAGATTTCTTTCATTCAGCCAACATATGTTGTTTCCTTTGTAAAGAGCAGTAGGTAGTAAGTATTCAGAGCACAGCCAAAAGAATGGAAGATACATATAAAACATATATCTAAATAGCTTGCTCTGTCACTGCCTGGTATAGTTTCAAAAATAGATAATGATTACATGTGATTCTCAAGCCCCTGGTTGGGAAAAATTCCTATGTGAATAATATTAGCCGACACATAATATTATTTGCATGCCCCTTTCACATCAGTGAATAATTGTACCTTATCTAGTAGGCCCTATTCTCACTTACGAAAGGGGTCATCACGTAAGTTTCACAAATTTCTCTATGAGACTTATACAATTTGCTGAGGGCTGCAGGCACTGTACAATAGAATGACATCACCCGCAGCCATTTGCAGTCAGTTTGCACATGCTGCTATTAACCTGCAAACAACCTAACCTGGATGTAGAATATTAGGTGTGATCGTCTTGCAAGCAATCACAGCAAGTAATCAGAAATGTGAATGGGTCGTAAACTTATCCATACAAGGAACTACTGATCTGCACCCTGGTGTGCAGATAAGTAAGCTCCCTAAATCCATTTTGGAAAGCCTTATTCACTAACTAGGGCTACAAAAGTAATTTTGATTTCTTGCTACTGACATATTAAAGCACTTGTCATCTACCATTAGGCTTACAATGTGATACAAATTGAGTGACTGCCAACAAGTGGTACATTTCACTA